AATTTGGATAATTTGTTTTATTATAATTTATTTTGGATGCGTGGAAATTTGCTACTATTGTGAACAGGGGCGAACTGACCATTTGGAAACTCGGGCACTGTCCGAGGGCCAGGGGTCAGTAGGGGGCCCCGTGAGATGCCTCTGGTACCTTTTTTTGAGTTTGGGCAAGGACACAGGGGCCCCATGATCCAGTATTTCCCGAGGGCCCCATGAGATGTCAGTCCGCCCCTGATTGTTATTCAGAAATACAGTACATTCGAGTCTACAAATAACAAACATTTTGTCCGAATGTCGACTAGTAATGAAACTAATTGTCTATTCAGTAAATATGCAATGATTAGCCAGAATGGAAAGCACATATTCAAGTAAAGAAAGTCTAGATTCACCTGGAAAATATCAGGTCCAGAGGAGGAGTGGTGGAGAGGAGTTTTAGAACTGGCTTAAGAAAAAATGTAAAAATTGCAACTCATCAGTTTAGTAACTTCTGTACATGTCCCTTTATAGGTGCTCATGTATTAAAATATCCCGCTAGCCAAGACACCTCTTACACCAATGGGCTTACTTATAAAAGGGGAAAAGCCATTCCCATTCTCTACTATACACACCCTGGCCTATCCCATTAATAAAAATGATCCTATGGTGTGTAGCTTGGCGGAGTTCTTTCTGCTCAATGGTGCAAAGAGTACTCCGTGATTGGAAAAAGCTGGTCATGTGACCAAGCTCTCCTTACAGCTTTGTTTTGTTTTTTTTTTACTTCTCCATTCATATTTCTGTGTTCTTCTGGCTTCACAGTCCTGCAGCTGGAGTAGCTTTAATAATATTCTTAGAATAGACCAGTCCACTAGTGGCATCTAATGTTAGTCATGGTTTTCTACCCATTTCTAGAGATATTTTGATACCACAACAATTATATATAAAAACATATATTTTTAGTGTACAAATGATTATAAAGTGGTTATATTACAAACAAATACTGAGGGTCTTTTTAAAACAATTAACAATCACATATTATCCCAGCAGTTGAAAATTGTATCCTAGATTGACCCTATGGAAATTCACATAGACGTATTACTGACGCGTTTCGCAGGACAAGGCATGCTTCCTCAGGGAGATCTGGCATCTGTCTCTGAAGCTACAAACAAAACCAACATGAGTGCTGTCAAGCAAGATGAATGGATTCCTTTTAACTTCAACTGTGAGCTAGACACACCAACAGGTGTTCCCACACCCAATTAAAGATATAAAAAACTATATATATATATATATATATATATATATATATATATATATATATTTTATATATATATATATATATATATATATATATATATATATATATATATATATAAAATATATATAAAAGGTGCTGCGATAACACATAGCAAACTTCCCACCGATATAAAAATAGATATAAAATAAAATAAACACCTGGCTGAGCCCTGCACACAGCAATCCCACGACAATAATAAATAGATCAACAAACCAATGATAACCTCAAGAATTAAATGAATAAAGTGATATTTCAAAAAATTCAATAAAATGAATAAAAATGGAAGGGCTAATAATAAACCCGGCTGCCCTCCTAGGTGAAAATAAAAAATGTGTCATATACATGTAAATCCATGATATAAATATATACCAAACAAATAGTGACCGTCCAAAAAAAGTGCATAAAAAAGGAGGGTATATAAATAAACATACAGCAGCCCTCCTAAACAGAAATGCAACAAAATATACAAATTGAATCGTGATAACATAATATTGCATAAACAACATAAGTAGAATAATAATCAGCTTATATAAAGTGCAAGTGCACAGTGATGAATAAAGTCCTCAATGGATAATACTCAATCCATAATATGTGAGAAAAAACTCTTCAAAGTGTCCACTTCAAACACCGCTATGTCCAACTAGACCAGGGGTGTGCGCTTACCTCCCAGTTCTAACCTAGAAACCTGGTCAACTTGCGTTCAATTGAAATCGTCTTTCACTTTCGATGTCACAGTATTAGAGGTCCGCTTTGATACACTATGGTTCTGCATTAGACTCAAACAGAAACACAGAGGATCCTCATAGTGTAGTATGTAGTATTATTTAATAATAAATATAAGAAATACACTCATGTGGAGCAAAGGGCTACATAGCCCATTCAAGCATATACACAGAGGTAAAACAAGATGGCTGCTGGCATTGCCACACCAGGAATGATGTCATCATGCTTCCGTCCAATGTGTTGCGTCACGCATCATGTGACTTCATCAGGGATCAATTCAATATCTCCAGAGGTTAAAGGGCAGCACTTGCAGAGCCGCGCAGCGGCGCGATCTGTCACTGGTTGTGTACCTCAGACACAGCCGATGACAGATCTGAGTACCGGCCCCCGTTGCCGGTCCATGTGACCTGCTGTGACCAATCACAGCAGGTCACATGACAGTTGTATACAATGGATGGCTTAATTTATGCCATCCATTGTATACTACTGGCTAGCTGTGAATGGTCACAGCTAATCACATGCACATGTCACATGATTAGCTGTGACCAAATCACAGCTAAGCACAAAAAAAAAAAAAAAAACCTGAATGAATCGATATCATTCAGGTAAATGCTTGCTTATAGCAAAGTAATTCTTTGCTATAAGCAAATTGTGTAAAAAAAAAAAATACTGATCACTTCCCCAAAGTAGTACAATGTTACTATGGTAACATTGTACTACTTTGAAAATAGTGAAATATGAAAAAAAATCTTAAAAAAAAGAAACAAAATTTAATAAAAAATGTAAAATAAAAAAAATATATATTTTTTTTTTTCACGCTGTCACTAGTCAGTGTCCCTGATCACCGCCATGCCAGTTATATGATGACTCTGTACTGCACTGGTGACAATATGTAAAAAAAAAATAGTGAAAATAATTTTTTTTATTTTTTTCACTTCCCGAAAAATTATGACAAAAAAAATACAACTTTAAAAAACTCGCCATTCCTCTTATGAAGTACGTCGGACTGTCTACTTTGCAAAAAGGGGCCATTTGGGGGATATCTGTACTATTCTGATATTCTTGGACCTCAAGAAATTAGATTGGCTGTCAGTACTTCAGGATTGATCAATATTCAGATCTATACCATAGTTTGTGAACTCTATAACTTTCCTACAAACTAAAAAATACATCCTAATTTGGGTTATTTTCACCAAAGACATGTAGCAGAATACATCTCCGCCTAAATGTATGAAGAACAATTATTTATTTGCAAACTTTTATAACAGAAACAAAGAAAAACGTGGTTTTTTTTTTCACAATTTTCGGTATTTTTTGTTAATTTAGCAAAAAATAAAAACCCCAGTGATGATTAAATACCACCAAAAGAAAGCTCTAGTTGTGTGAAGAAAATGATAAAATTTTAGTTTGGGTACAATGTTGTATGACCGCACAATTGTCATTCAAAGTGTGAGAGCGCTGAAACCTGAAAAATGGCCTGGGCAGGAAGGTGTAAAATTGCACGGTATTAAATTGGTTAAAGTATTCACAAAAAATGGCCTGGTCAGGAAGGGGGGTAAATCCTCTGGAGGGCAAGAGGTTAAAGATGTAAAAATATTAACAAAAAAAAAGTTTAAATATTATTAGGTATTAAAATAAATACAAATCCGAGATACTTTGTTTTGACAAAATATTTTCAATAAAAACTATTGAACATAAAATAAAAACAAACAAAAAAAATCAGCAGGAAAATAATAATTGAATGCAGAAGGGGAATAAGGAGTTAATTAGGACTGATTAGAGTAAACTACGGGTTAATAAGGGGTTAAACAGAGAAACATTTAATAAAAAAAAATACTTGATTCGTTTTGTATCTTTCTGTTTATTCATCTACAGATTACAGATTAAAGGGTTGAACTTTGATCTGCAGATTAAGTCAGTTAAAGAAACCTGACTTAATCTGCAGATCGAAGTTCATCCCTTTAATCTGTCGATGAATAAACAGAAAGATACAAAATGAAGCAATGTTTCTTTGTATATTTCTGTATTCACCTTTTTTTTTTTCCTTTTTTTTTTGCCTGATAAATCAGAGCTAAATTGCCGAGTACTGGGACAGGGGAGATCCTAACAGCAGGGCAGAAGGACTGGGCATGTTACACACACCCTGTGAACAATGATGACAATGACGGCAGAATCTGCAACTGGTTAAAATAATTGCCTTTTTTTTAAATTCTGTCTGCCAGAAGTGTGGATTTATTCTGTGAATAAAACACAGGCCCTGCACTATCCATGCAAAATGTGCCCCATATGTCACTCCTTTATCAGGGCCATATTATTAATTGTTCTTTGTAACATTATTGAATATTTCAGGTTTCTGTTTTCTGTGTTTATGTGGTGAGGGCTCCTATGAGTCAAGGATTATGTGTTTACAGAACTCACTTTTGGGCACAATCTCTGATAAAGAATCACATTAGGATCATACTTTTCAAACCTATAAGCTTTATTAATTTGCATACACTGGGTTATTTGAGGTTGTTGTGGGTTTTTTTTTTTATGTCTTGTTTCCATAACAACTAGAATGTACCCTGCCATGTCTGTCATGATCGTTGAATGAGCAAGAAATAAATGGCTATTGCATTATATTTGGAGAGAAAAATGTGATCAGGCTGGAAATGGAAATGAATCTCATGATCAGTTTAGTGCAGGAGAAGCAAAATATTTCTAAGAGCAGCAAGGTGAGCGATGGCAAATATCGGAGCTTGTATACTTTACATAGGGCAGCCAGGGGACAACGAACAAATGGTGATCACATTCGGAGGTTATTCTAGGGCTGCTATCAAGAATATTGTGTTATAATAGCAGCATGCAGTAATGATTATTCAGTATATGAATTCCTTTGTAATCCACGGGCCTTTATTTGTAATTGTCTCCATGTGTAACTCTAAGAAAAGCTGTTTAGTAAGGGCCTGTTCACACATGGGGGCCGGTAAAAACAGGAGGTTGATGCTTGGATCCCATGCTTACCTTTAGTCCTCATCAGAGACGGACTGACAACTCATGGGGCCCCCGGGCAATAGGGGATCATGGGGCCCCTGTGTCCTTGCCCAAACTCAAAAAAGCCTATGAAAAAGGTACCAGGGGCATCTCATGGGGCCCCCTACTGACCCCGGGCCCTCGGGCAGTGCCCGAGTTTCCAAATGGTCAGTCCGCCCCTGGTCCTCATGCACACTGGACTTTTTTTTACACAGCTCTTAGGAATGTCTGGGTTTTTTTCTGCTTCTAAATGCCCTCACATGTTATCCTATGTGTCCATGTACACATAGGAAATTGGGGGAATTCAGAAGCAGAAAAAAAAAAAGACTGCCATTCAGGGGCGGACTGACAACTCATGGGGCCCCCCGGGCAATAGGGGATCATAGGGCCCCTGTGTACTTGCCCAAACTCAAAAATGCCTATGGAAAAGGTACCAGGGGCATCTCACTGGGCCCCCTACTGACCCCGGGCCCTCGGGCAGTGCCCAAGTTTCCAAATGTTCAGTCCGCCCCTGCTGCCATTGCATCCAGGAGCTGGCTTTTTGGCAGAAAAATGCTTGACACCTGTAAAAATGTCTAAATGTGCATCAAAGCTAGGTACGTTTAGCGCTTGAGCGTTAATTAATTACATGGCCAGAATAAATTATTATTATGGTCAATTAAACGAAAAAAAGCCCAAACACTTGAAGCACCTACATGTGCCCAAAAGCGCCTAAACACGTTGCACGTGTTTAAAAGTGTCAAAGCATATTTTCTGCCTAAACACTGCTACTGGGAGGGATAGCAAAAAGTTCAGCAGGCATAGGGCCTTAAAGGATAAGTTCACCTTTGGGAATATGTTACATGTTCCACCCGTTCTTATGTTATACTATCAGATTTTAGTATAACAGTATGAGGTTATACATTCCCTCAGTATTATACCACCTACACCTTGAAATCTTTTCTGGTACTGGTTGTGCCTGCAAAGTAAGAGGCTTTAGACTTGAAATAGAGTGTACTCCTACATTAGAAATGCTAGGAGTACAGCCCCATTCAAGCTGGTAGGGACTTGGAGGCATGGCTAGTGCTAAAGATTTCAGATCCAAAGGGTCTATATATATATTTATTATTTCAGGTACTTAAATAGTGCTGTCAATTTACACAGCACTTTACATATATATTGTACATTCACATCAGTCTCTAACCCTCAAGGGACGTACAATCTAAGGTCCCTAACTCACATTCATACATACACATACTAGGGCCAATTTAGACAGGATCCAATTAATCTACCAGCATGTCTTTGGAGTGTGGGAGGAAACAGGAGTACCCAGAGGAAACCCACGTAGGCACAGGGAGAACATGCAAACTCCAGGCAGGTGGTGCCATGGTTGGGATTCGAACCATTGACCCTGGTGCTGCCAGGCAGAAGTGCTAACCCCTTAGCCACTGTGCAGCCTTATATATATACACACACTTGCCAACCGCCCTGTAGCAGTTTTAGACGATCTGACCGGAAGTGGGGCTGGCTATCTGTCAAGATCTGATACCCGATTCCACCCCCCCCCCCCCCAAAAAAAAAAAAAAGAAAGTGCTAGTTGTTCAAAAAAACAACTTTTGGGTGAAGTTCCACTTTAAGACAAATTTGTATTTTTCTTAGATTAGGCAAGGTAACAGCATTGCTTAATAGTAGACACAATAGCGATTTATACTAGAACATACTGTATCTGCCAACTATCTGAGATGGGGAAGAGGGGCACCTTATAGCTCAAAGCATTTAGGCAAAGGACATTGCCTTGTCACATGCAACTTGAGACCATTAAAAATTGATTTAAAAAATTGATTAAACCAACAATAAAAAACAAAATTACTGAGATGGAAAGAGGGACAGATGGGCTTGGTTCCCAAAAGAGGGTAGTAGCTCCAGACACAGCTATAATGTAACTAGGCTCCCCTGCTACCTACCTCAGCTGCCAGTCATCAAGCCCAAAGGCTCTCAGGTGGGGACAGTTGGAGTTGAGGGATGTACTCTCACCAAGGTTTGACTTTGTGAAACTCTAAACTTGACTGGGAATTTTTAGGTGCGGTAGTGGTGGATGGGGTCTGCAGAGGGTTGTAGAGACAGTGAATGTAGACTGTTTGTAGAATTTGCCTAGTCCAGACACTGTACACTTTCACTTTAAATCTAATTTTTAAATATACTGTAAGATATTCTTTCATTTTATCAAATCATTTGCTCCAGACATAGTAGATCTTAACCCAAAACAGAAAAATTTTGGCACTGATTTGGGCTTAGGACAGCCAGAAATGTTTGGCTGCCAACAAAGAAAGCATGAACAGCTGCTTATGGATTCGATAACAAACAGGTCTAAAATGATTTTCCCTTTAAAGTGCTAGGCAGTTTCCTGTGTGATATAGCCCTGTGACTGTCCTTGACTACCCACTGAAAGTGTTGGATTTCCAAGGGCAGAGCTGTTTCACGATGTCAAAATGGGAAACTGTTGATTGGAAGAGGTGCAAGTGGGGAGCTGACAACTGTCAAAACTTTGCATTGAAAGAAAGGATTTTCCATCAGGGTGCCTGACAAACATCCTAAAATGACCCAAAGGACTCATTTAAACCTATGCGTATGCATTATTATTCTAAGACAAATGAAAATACACATCAGTGTCCATTAAATTTAAAGAGCCCTTAAAGTGAATTTTCTAGCCACTTTACAAGTCTGCATGAACATATTTCTGACATACACTATAATAACACCATCTGTATCCACTTTTGCCCCAAGCCATTTCTGGCACTTTTTTGTTTACATTTTAAAATTTGTATTTTTTGCTAGAAAATGTCTTAGAACCCCCGAATGTTATTTTTTTTTCCTAAAGCAGAGGCCCTAGAGAATACATTGGTGATTTTTGCATTTTGCCACATGCAGCCGTTTTTCAAACACAATTTTTGGGAAAAAATACACTTTTTTGAATTTAATTGCAAAAAAACACAATACATAATCCATTTTTTTGCAAATTATAAAAGTTGATGTTATGCTGAGTAAATAGATACCAAACATGTCATGTTTTAAAACTGGTCATGCCTGTCCAATGGCGACAAAGAAAAGTTTACTATTCATAGGCACCTGGTTAAAAGCCTTTACAGGTTGCCACTTTAGATTTACAGAGGAGGTCTAGTACTAGAATTACTGCCCTTGATCTGATGATCTTGATTATACCTCACATGTGTGGGAGGGGCGGGGTGGCACTTTTTTTAATTAAACCCCTCCTCTACACTTGAAAGTATTCAAAACACCAAGATTTCTGGCCAGCCGGTGGACATGCCGGATGGTCACTCGGGACCATGGGCGGACTGACCATTTGGAAACTCGGGCACTGCCCAAGAGCCCGGGGTCAGTAGGGGGCCCCATGACATGCCCTTGGTATCTTTTTCATAGGCTTTTTTGAGTTTGGGCAAGGACACAGGGGCCCCATGATCCCCTATTGCCCGGGGGCCCCATGAGTTGTCAGTCCGCCCCTGCTCGGGACTCCCTTTGGGATGGGAGTTACCAAGAGAGCTAGTTAACTGCTCCAATTGCTTTTGATGGTCCAGAAGTGGGTATAGTAAACAGCAGTCCTAAAAGAGGAAACTCTAGCCAAGCTCAACTTTGGGCTCTAGTCAAATGAAATTGCTTAGGGTGGGATTATGTCATCAGTCTATTGCAGCCAAAGAAATCATATATCAGGATTTACATGATTGTGTCATCTTTGCTAGAATCTCAACCCAGGAACTAGATGCTGATTTTGGATAACATCTAAACAAATCCTGTTAGAGAGAAAAGCAGATGAAGGTATTGTCAGGGGGTGCTGTGACCTCATTATTATTTAGCACGCACACATTTGACAAAAGACAAACAAACAAAAAAACCCAAAAAATTTTAAGTAAGGTCTGCTTTAAAAGAGGAACTGAACTGTGGAAGCTTTGCCAAACAAAGAGCAAGCAGAGGACAATCAAGTAGTTACCAGCATATTATCCCCTACAGCTAATCTTTATACATTTACTGACTAGACATGTGCAATTCGGTTCATTTGCATTCGTTTTACGTGTGAAAATTACATTTTTCGGAGGTTTGGATACATCCGAAGTTTCCGAATGGACATAGAAATGAATGGCAATGAATCAGAAAAAGTCATAACGAAAAATTACAATAAACAAATAAAGTATTTGTTGATTTTTTTTCATTCGTATGATGTCATTTTCAAATTTGTTCAAAAGTTTTCTGAATTTATTATGAATAACTGGTTGTTGCTAAGTAGCAGGTGGCTGCTGCCTCCTTAACAACCATTACTCATCAGCTGCCAGTGGGATTCCCCACTGTTTGCAGAATGTAAACCAATCCTGTGTCATCAATTAAAAAAAAAAAAGTTGAAAAAAAAAAACATCTTGGGCCCCCTCCCAATCCATAGCAGGGTCTTTGGGTCTGGAATGGATTTTGAGAGGAACCCCACACCAGCATTTTTCTATAAAAATGGCATGGGGTCACCCCCAAAATCAAACCAGACCCTTAGGTCTGGTGGTTGTGGGGTCTGTGGGTGGGGGGCTTATGGGAATCTGGAAGCGCTCTTTAACAAGGGGGCCCTAGCTCCGGATGTGACTCAGTATGGGGTACATAGTACCCCTACTTATTCACCAAAAAAAGTCAAAAGATAAAAACACAAACACAGTTTTTGTCAAGTTCTTTATTAAAAAATAAGTGTCCCTAGAATTAGATCCAACAGCAATCATGATGAACAGCAACCTGCACAAAAAGAAAAAAACACCTCTTGCCTAACATGACATTTCCCATTCACGAACATATGCCAACTGACAAGTAAACATGGGGATAAACAAGACATGCCCTGTAGAGAGACACTATCCCAATAACAGGTAGACATGGGGACAGGATCATCCAGTGACATTATATTGCCTCTTCAATTCCAGTTAGAGAAAGGTCAGCAATCCGGTGTGCGATACTCTTAAAAAACTTTATTGCATGGCCATCAGGAGTAAAAAAAAAGATCCATTACACAAAATCTGCTAATGTGTTTCAGCCCTTGTGGGCTTTTGTCATTGCCTCCTCACTGGCAATGACAAAAGCCCACAAGGGCTTACCAAAATCAAGCAAGCAGCTTGCTATAGAGGCACTCGGCTGGGGGGAGGAGCCAGAAGCACCAGGAGGGGACCAGAGAAGAGGAAGACTGGAGCTGCTCTGTGCAAACCCATTGCACAGAGCTGGTAAGTATGACATGCTTGCTATTCTAAAATAAAAATAACAAGCCTTTAATATTGCTTTAACATGCACAAAAACACGTGACATACACAAAAACATGCACATGACACAAAACTGGTATCTTGGACAGTCATAAAAAATAGTTTGCTCCTCTGTAGATGTATTTCAATATCATATTCCTTTTTATATAAAACTAAAAAAGATAAACAAATGAATAAAGATGAAATACATAAAAATGAAAAAAGTAACTAAAAATAAATAAATAAAAATAGATTAAAAAAAAAAACTGTGTCATAGGCTATAATACCACATTATAATTATCAAGTATGTCTACGCACATCAAAAAGTATGGTCCTGGTAGGATTTTTCATGGAAAACAAACCCTTTAAAAAAGGAAAAGTCATATATGACAGAAATGCAAGCTGTGCTATATTACCAATTCCACGACTTTGTGCTCCATTAAACAAAGAAATTGGATTTCCATGTCTAAATTCTCAATTTACAAGATATCAATACCAACACACTAATGAAGTAAAACACAGAACATATCTGATGCAAAAAAGAGGTAAATTACAATGAAAAAGATTAAAAAGCAAGATAGCTAAATCAAGAATAGCCACATTTTCTGAATGATATCACATTGTTGGCTTAAAAAGTTAATTTTTCTTCTACTCTTCTCCCTGGCGTTTAATGTGTATGCTTTTCTCCCATTCTATTGAAGGAACATACTTTATAAACATTTTTCTTTAAGACTGTGCTGAAAAAGCAAATTGACATTATGGATTTAGGGATGGACCAGTGAGCTTGACATTTAATTAAGAAAGCTAAATGTTTACTTAACTTCCCCGTGACTAACTTCTGGGGAAATTACAGTGGTAACCTCTATTCCTCTCACTATAACAGCCAATTGTGATATATTAAAATGCACAAAAATCCCAGCGGTGCAGTCTAAAACCATGTGCGCATCTAACTTTGCTCATGGGACCAAATTAATTCAGAACAGTGGCTGGTGAAAAGAAAGGAATATATATCATTTTGGTGGCAACCTCCTAGTAATATTCAACAGAAACATTACAAGTTTGGGATCCAAAATATGGAGCTACTTTTTTCACAAATATTTTTACTGTAGACCTGTTAGTGAATTCATTATTATTATTATATTATTCTTTATTCTGTATGTTTTAAAGTGAAACTCAACTGTGTCTGAGCACCACAGACTGAAAATGCTATTGAATTAATTTTTACTATTCAAGGCAAATTCACCCATTCATCCATGTCTCCATGTTTTATTTTGGTGAGAAATCACTGAAAAACACCCTGCTTGCATTTTTAGCTGCGGCCATTTTTAGTAAGGGCAGATGATTTAGTAGCAGGGGCGGACTGACCTTTTAAAAACTCGGGCACTGCCCGAGGGCCTGGGGTCAGTAGGGGGCCCCATGAGATGCCCCTGGTAAATTTCTCATAGGCTTTTTTGAGTTTGGGCAAGAACACAGGGGCCCCATGATCCCCTATTGCCCGGGGGCCCCATGAGTTGTCAGTCCGCCCCTGTTCAGTAGCATTTACTTTCTGGAATCCAAGGGAGATGCTCAGGCATGCAGGCAGGAGAGCGTGCATAGTTAAGAAAGCCCCTCTTACAGATGAAAGAAGAAAATTGCCCACAGAGGCTCCTCGGATATATGACATCACTATGGCCTAGGCCAGATACCAGGAAGCAACTGAAGAAATGTAAAAAAAAAATTTAAAACAAACAAATTTAATATACCTTCCTATCTTTTTTTTTACTTCTAACAGCATAAGGATTAAAAATAGTTAATGCTGTTTGAGTTTAGTTCTACTTTAAGGAAAAACAATAATAGAGGCTTTTTGGACATGAATTAAAAAATGGAAGATTTACTATGTCATAGGGAACATCTAGAAATTATAATTTTGCCTAGGAGGTATCCTGGAACTTTACATTTCCTTTGAATTCTTCTTGATATATAGCAGTGCATTTTCTAGTGTGTTAGGGTGCCTAGGCACTCCTGTGCTTTGAGCCATATGTAGACACCTTGCCAATAAGATGGGTTCTGTTCTGAGCCAGCTAGTTAATCTGCCCAGGTGGGGAAGGGGTTAACTTTTCTGGCCTCCTTTTCCTGGGCTTTTCTGGTCCTGCCTTCCCACCCAGTATAATATAAAAAGGGGGAGGTTGGGCCTGCGGAGAGCCCACTCCTGCTCTGACTTGTGCCTGCTGCCATGGACTGGGGTTGCTAAGGAACTTACCTCGGAACACTGAACTGCCAAACAGCTACCATTCATTAGGGAATGCCATGGACTCAGGCCTGTGTCAAGGTATGCATGGGAAGCTACATTTAGTCAATTAGGGTTAAGTAATTTATACTGCATGTTACTGTGAAGCATCTTCAGTAAAGCTTTTAAACATTTTGAGCCTGGTAAGAAGTTCTTCAAAGGGGTGCATGGTAGATTTTGGAGTATCAGAAGAACAGAATCTGTAAAGCACATATGGGGTATGAAGAAAGACCACTACTGAAGGTTAACTTAACAAGGCAAATTGGAAAAGAAATGCAGTTGCTATGGTTATGAAGCATGGTACCTGGCATGAGTGCAGGGTCCTCTGGTAGTGATGGGGTTGGTGCACTTACGTCCTCCCCAGCAGTCAGCTCCCCAAGTTCGGGACCCAAACAAAATTATGGAGACACACAGCCTACCCGCATGATACAGGAGAAGGAAGAGTTAACTGAGAGCACGCATAAGGTCCGTGCAGAACCCCATTCTGTCACTGGGAGTGAGGTGACAGGGGTATGCCGGACTGGTGGAGAGGGAATGGGTGCTACAGTGTCCCTCCTAAATTCAATTTCACTACAGTAAAGTGTGTGGTGACACATGAAAATACTTTCACAGAGGGACTCTGCAGGTAACACAGCTAAACACAGTGAAGAGCTCATCTCTAAGTTGGAGTCCCACCATAATGTTTCATGTGCATGGCCCTAGGCATTGATGAGTGAGCCAAAGGTACCTCATGTTCACGAGCGGAGATAGACCCCACCCACACACATATCTGTATCTCTACCATGTGACTCACGCAATCTCTAGATGCTAGTCTCAGGACATTTGGAGTGATCATTAGGTGATGTCAGCACTGTGCTGCTCACTGTTCTCCTTGCTGGAGGCTCTGACATGAGGATACAAAGCTCTGCTTCTACCAAGATGGCCACCTCCAGACAAAGACACTATGCAAAACAAGGAATAGTAAGTCTGTGATGGGGGAAAAGATCACCTGCAGGGAGACAACTAGCAATACTGGTGGCTAATCCTGCTTTTTTTAAAAGCTTTCATAGTTCTATTCCTCAGTTCCTCAGTTTTCTATTTTAAAACTTGCTGTTTTCACTTTACTTCATCCTTCTTTGTATCTCAGTCTTTCTGCTCTACTCTCTCCTCTTTCAGCTCTTCTGCAATTACTCCAGCACATCATTGCTCCTGATGGTGTACCATACCATAGCATACCATACCATACTGTACCATAAATACCAGAGCAATACGTATGCAAAAAATTAATTAAAACTGAAATATACAAATTTTAACATCTTGCTTTCCACGTAACAAATATTTGCTTTGGCAAAAAGGGAGGGAACTTTAAAGCCCACATGCCGCACATATCTGTCCATGGATGGCAGAGGTTTCTGTGCTGAGAGTACACTCACTGTAGACATCCAGCACTTGGACAGAGTTGTTATAGACAGCTCACAAACTGTAGTCATGACCACTTGACAGTCAATTACAGTGGTCACATGACTAGGTAGTCAGTCCTGTCTTTGAGATGTTGGGGCTGAGAGGGAAAGAGTTAACAAACCCCTACTGATCTGCTCTCATATATTGCTCTGGTATTTAGGGTGGCCCGCTGAGCCCCCATTTCAGGTGTTTTTGTGGGTGGTTTGAATTATCAGTACAAATGTACTCACTTGTGATGTACAGTACTATATTTTCCATTAAAACAAAATTAGAGAACTCCTTGAATCCCTCCACTTACTTTCAATTGCCCAGTGAAATAAAGCAGGGCCATACTCCAGCAATGTGGCATTCTCTAGCTCCCCACCTGGCCATTGACATCTTTAGGCAGTCAACTTCCAGGTCCTAATCACCAGCTGCTGTGATTGGCTGGGAGGAGATGACATCACTCCTATGCATGTGCTGGAGTTAAGTCAGATTTAGAATTTCTGAAGTTGAACAGTGAGCTGCACGTGCGTGGCTCACTGTACAAGGTCGGATGAGCATGTAAAGAGTTTTAATGCAGATGAGTCAAAGCAAGTCTCTTCTGGATTAAAAATCCCCCTTGTTCGTTCATTTTAATTACTTAGCCTAAAGCAGCCTTTCTCAACGGGGGTGCCACCAGAGGTCCTCAGGGGTGCCGCGGCATCCTGGTAGAGAAAAGCTGTTAGATGAGTCCGGCAGTGAGGCAGCTCCATCAGACTTTTGAGTACACTCAGCAAAGTAAAAGCAAAGGAAGGGGGAATGTCTGCTGTGCTTCCTGCCTCCCCTTTCAGTGCAGTACCCAGATATATGATGGGAGGAACTGTACTGCAACTTTTAAAAAGGCAATATACATGTGGCTGTGTGTGTATACACGTGTCCGTGTGTGTGTGTGCACATGTGTCCATGTGTACATGTGTCTGTATGTGTGTGTTTGTACATGTGTCTGTGTGTGTGTATACATGTGTCCTTGTATGTGGGTGTGTGAGTGTGTCTGTGTGTACATGTCTGTATGTGTGTGTACATGTGTGTGTGTACATGTGTCTGTGTACATGTGTCTGTGTATACATGTGTCCTTGTATGTGGGTGTGTGTCTGTATATGTGTGTGTACATGTATGTATGTGTGTGTACATGTGTGTGTGTATACATACATTTTTGAAAATGCTCTGAACCGAAAACTCCCTGCCTTTGCCAATATGTGGGGTACCATTAACAATTAATGGCACCCCTAAAGAGCAGAGTCTGCAAGTCAGAAACAAGTGCAATTTCGCATTGACATGAACCAAGACTTGGACAGGGGTGCCTTGAGACTGAAAACACTTTTCAAGGACATCCCAATTGGGAAAAGGTTGAGAAACAAGACCTCCTGCTCTCAAGCTCTCTTGTTCCCTCCTCCCATGCTCGTCTCCAGGACTTTTCAGGGCCTCTTCCATCCTCTGGAAATCTCTACCTTAGTCTATTCAGCTATCTCCTGCTCTGGCTACCTTTACCCCTGGTTCACATCTGTGCAGGTGGTGCCACTGCGGATCCGCACCACCCACACAGAGGAATGCGGACCCACAGGCGGGTGTCATTAATTCTAATGGCACGCCGGCCGCACTGGAAATCGCAACCATACTGGGAACTGAGGTTCCCGTGCGGGCTTCATTTTCCAAAGTGCAGGGACTTCTTCCCTGCGTGTCCCGGGGCACTGGAGTCCATTCAAATGAATGGGCTCTCGTGCCCACGCAAAAATGCGGCAAGCAGGAACTCAGAGATGTGAACCTAGCCTTAGGCGACCTCTGAAATGAGTCTACAGGGAAGCCTGCCATGCCTACAACTAACTGAATTTTTAACTCTTCCATCATCTCATCATCTCATTATTACCTTTTGTACCTCTTGCCCTACCCTATTAGACTGTAAGCTCTTATGAGCAGGGCCCTCTTATCCCTCCTGTATTGTATTGTATTGTAACTGTACTGTCTTTATATTAAAAGTGATGTGAAAATAGTAGACGCTCTATAAATCCTGAATGATAATTGACACTGTTCCTCAGGCCCCTATTAACTTAGTGTAGACCTCTCCCCATCCTTCCTTCTGGGAAGTCATGGACTACATCCCTAGATTTTGCTTTAAGGCTTATAGGAATGTGAAGGCTATAGACCACCACCATTATTAATGGTATATAATTGTCTTGCTCTACACACATCTAACAAATTAGCACTATGAATTGTGAGACGTCCATTATGCTGATTTTTATAGCCTAGGCCTTGAAAGATAATTTTTCAACACACGTTTTAGATCTGCTGGACGAAAAGTCTTTGTTTGCCTGTAGTCCCCATGACAGCCGTTGCATTATTCTTTTTGAATAATGCTCAGACACTGAATCAGTGCCTGCAATGCACATAAAATATACCAAAGCTTCGCCACCAAGCAACCACATTCACATTTTTTTTATGGATCTCCTTAATCTTGTTTTGTCAGCAAGCAGAAACATTACCCTATAGTATTCAGTATGTGCAATGTGTTCATAATCACTCTGCTTAGAAGTAAAGATTGGAAAACATCAAAGCTTTAAAGTGAACTTGTCACAATGGTTTAAGTTGATTGCCTGAAGGCAGATACATGGGTACCTAAAATTTAAAAATTCTAAATCTTTGTGCGGACTAGGATCGGCCAGCAAACAAATAACTTAAAGCTTAATTCTAGGTAGTTATTAAGACAAGTTATTAATGCTCTGTGTATATTAATCCATCATTAAATACATTTTTTTAAAGTATCAATCACATTAGAATGTGCAAAAACCCTGAAATGTGTAAGGCTAGGTTCACATCTATGCAGTTTGCATTTGATGCATTTCTGCAGTGCTTTTTTGCGGTGATTTTCGCATTTTTGCACATGCATTTTTGCTATGTTTTTGCCTCATTTTGAAATTGTTTTGCATTTTTTTTTCAATTTGTTGCTGGGCAGAATAAAACACAAAAAGCAACAAAAGAGCATCAAAAATGCACTACATGTCTTTCTATAAGTCTATAGAACCTAAAATGCAATGTTTTTTATTTAAAAAAAGTCTCTGACCCTTTACAAAAAGCATATCGGGTGAAAATACGGAGATGTGAACCTGTCCCATAGGAAATCATGTTAAATGGACTGCTGTGCATTTCTGCAAAATACAGCGGAAAACGTTTAGGTGTGAACCTAGACTAAAGGATAATTGTACTTTTAGTACAGTTTTCCCTAAAATGTAATTTCTACTTTGCTCAGCAACAGTACTGGGACAGGGTTTGTGGGACTGTGTCCTCCTCCCTCACTGTTTTTACCTTCCTGCGCCCATTCTTTGCCCACTTGCTTCACTACACCCAGGGCGGCTGCCCCTCCTGCCATCTTTTGTCCTGGCCCTGCTTAGCAAGCTCACTAAATGCTCTGCTAGCTTGTCCATGATCCACACAGATCACGGACAGGTAATGGACTCACCAAATGCTCTATTTACCTGCCCATGATCCATGAAGATCTTTGCTGTGGCTTCCTTTTGAGAAATCTACTTAGCACGCATGAACAAGCCAGGAGACTTACTGTGGAGAGCCTGTATAACAATCACTAGCCCCACAGAAAAGATCTCCATGGAACAAAAGAAATACATATATTGGAGCTTTTTTTTTATCTATCAGAAGATTTATATTTCTGTCCATTCATTCCTGAGATTTATACAACCCTGTCTGTCAGGGCAGGAGATCTGATTTTTTTCAGCTGCATTTAAGTAACAGTTACATGTCTTGTCTCTCCCCTGGTATGTGACTGGACCATGAAAGAAGAAGCAGCAAAGTGATGACTTAGCAATCCATAGTAAAAGCTGGATATATCAGCACAAATGTTTATCCTTTATTACAAAATGGTGGGGTACATCCAGGGATGGACTGACCATTTGGAAACTCGGGCACTGCCCAAGGGCCCGGGGTCAGTAGGGGGCCCCATGAGATGCCCCTGGTATCTTTTTCATAGGCTTTTTTGAGTTTGGGCAAGGACACAGGGGCCCCATAATCCCCTATTGCCCGGGGGCCCCATGAGTTGTCATTCCGCCCCTGGGTACAGCTGATATAAACTCCAATGCATTTCGGCCACCAGGCCTTAATCATGGTCTGATGGCTGAAACGAGTTAGAATTTTTATCAGCTATACTACACTAGTTTGCAATTAAAGATAAGCATTAAAGCTGATATATCAAAAGGCTGGCTTTTCTTGTGGAATAATTAGAACTGGAGGTTGTCAGAAGCTGTTTTTCCTGAGCACTTGTTCCCTGGAGCTGTGGATATTAAAGAGGCTGCAGTGAGTGATGACTTAGTCTCTCTTTGATTCTGTTCTCTTCTACTATCGGCATCCTCTTTTCACTGCAACAAATCTAATTGGCTGCTTGTGCTGTTTCACCCTTCACCCCTCTTGGTTCTGCTGTGTGACTGCATGAGAAAGAAAGCAAGTTGAATTCAGGTGCTCACACTGCTTGTATTAACCGCTTCCGTGCCGACCTATAGCAGAAATACTGCTGCAGGGCAACACGGGTTCGCAAAATCATATATATACGTGATTTTGCAGTTCTGGGTAGGGGGCACGTGTACGCCGCACTCGCATCCCAACCCATGCCGCCATTTGCGGCCTCAGCTGTCAATCAGTGGGTCCCAGCCCGGTGATTTCTCACAAGCACCTGGTGATCGCCGAGTATCTCCAACGGGGAAGAGACCTGTGTATAAACAACACAGATCTCCCTGTCAGCTCCTGCACACTGCTTTCTTACAGTGAAGCAGAGCACACAACACACTTAGTAAAACACACACAGCACACAGTTAACCCTTTGATCACCCCACATTTTATCCCCTTCCTGCCCAGTGCCATTAGTACAGTGTCAGTGATTTTTTTTAATCTCTGATCACTGTATTGGTGTCACTGGGATTGTTAGTGACACCAAGTTAGTTCCCCCCCCCCCAGTGTCAGAATGCTCGCCGCAGTCCCGCTATAAGTCGCTGATTGCCGCCATTACTAGTACAAAAATTTTTTTAAATTAAAATTCCAGTATATATATACCACCATTTGTAAATGCTTTAACTTTCACGTAAACCAATTAATTTACATGTATTGAGATGTTTTTTAGCAAAGACATGGCAGAATACATTTTGGCCTAAATTTATGATGAAATCTGATTTTTTAAATTTTTTATTGAACATGTTTAATAGCAAAAGATAAAAAATATTATTTTCTCAAAATTGTCGGTCTTTTTTTCTTTATAGTGCAAAAAAAAAAAATATTACTGAAAGAAAGCTCTATGTGTAGGAAAAAAAAGGACATAAATTTAATTTGGGTGCAGTGTTGCATGACCGTGCAATTGTCAGTTAAAGTAATGCAGCGCCGTATTGCGAAAAATGGCCTGGTCAGGAAGGGGGGTAAATCCTCTGGAGGGCAAGTGGTTAAAAGAAATACTTTCATTGACGTACAAATGGAGAAGAACTGCTTTCATCAGTATATTTTATATCTACCTGGAGTTCAGCTTTAGGGAAGATCTGCCTCTATTTATTTTTTTTACTGTTCTGTCTCCTATGGAACAAAGTAAGTGTGGTACATTCTCTTATGCTGCTAAGGGCTTTCTATACGCACCGGCCACTTTATTAGACACACCTGTTCAATTACTTGGTAACACAAATTTCTAATCAGCCAATCACATGACAGCAACTCAATGCATTTAGACATCTAGATGTGGTAAAGACAACTTGCTGAATTTCAAACCGAGCATCCGTGTTAGAGATCGCGGCAGCGCGCGGGTCTGCGCATGCGCAGAACGACGATTCACGCTAATCGGTGGGTGCTAGGACCTAGGCAGCTGCGGCAATGGCGGCCGCGCATGCGCACTCGCAATCGCGGACGCACGCCTGGCACCAATGACAGTGCAGGGCGCGCTATTTAAATCAGCCCTGCACAGACTCACATTGCCGTATGGTCTTATTATCTGTTTCTGCTCTTTGTGCCTGCTGATTACCTTGTTGCCGACCCTGTGTCAGGAATGGATTCAGCACTGGTGGTGGGACTCTCCTGCCGTGTGGGCTGCAGTACCAGAGCTGACCAGCGGGTGCTCTCAGCACTGGTGGTGGGACTCTCCTGCCGTGTGGGCTGCAGTACCAGAGCTGACCAGCGGGTGCTCTCAGCACTGGTGGTGGGACTCTCCTGCCGTGTGGGCTGCAGTACCAGAGCTGACCAGCGGGTGCTCTTAGCAGCCAGAAGCTCACAATCAGCCAAACCTGGGGCTGATTACAGAAAGGTGTATATAAGGCATGACCAGGCCTGTGCTCTGGGCCTTGGTGTATGTTTCCCCATGAGCCCCTGTATCCTGTTCCTAGTGCCTGTGAGAAGATACCTTGTTGCCGACCCTGCCTGATTCTGATTCCTGTTGACCGTCTCCTGTTCTGACTACTGGCTTATCCCTGACCATCCTTCTGCCTGATCCTCTGTACTGCGCTGTCTGTGAGTTACTGAACCCGGCTTGTGACCTTGACCATCCTCTGCCTGCTCCTTTGATACCTTGCTGCCCGCACGTTGCTGACTTGGCCCGTCTGACCACGCTCACTACTCTGCCATCCATCCATCCTGCACGGATCCAGCCGTACCTGCACATACCTCTGGCGGATCCCTCTATCACTAGCAGGTGTACTCAGGGGCCGCGACCTGGTTCCTGTCTGCTCCAAGTCCATCCCCACCATCAGGGGCCCTGGTGAATAGCAGACTGGGACTTAGACTCCGCGCCCTGGGGAATCCTGCCCTGAGGACCGCTAGAGGTACCACCAGGCAGTCGTTACAGAACCCTACGGCCGGCCTGACCATTCCACCTCTC